CCCCCCCCCCGTACAATAGACAACAAACAGTGTGCAGATCAAACTTCTCTTTTTAAAAAGAGAGAAACCTCAGTTTACCAGAGGAAAAGCAGACAATGTCTACCTCCTTGTGACCAGGACTGGAGAGACCAGACAGGAAATCAACACAAAGTAGGACTTATTCAGGATACCATAGGACAAGCACACACAGCTGTCGGTAGGACAAACAAGAGACCGCTACAGACAAAGAAGTCAAACAGTTTTCTTTCACTTGTAATTATTCCCTCTGATTCACTTCCCATCCTTGTCATGAACTTTTTACTTCCTCCTCCCACGTTCATTCTATCCTAGTATTGTGTTACACCCTCCACCCCACACCAGGAATATCCTATTTCCCTCATAATCCCAAGAAAAAAAAAATTAATCCAAAAAATTAATGCTTGCGGCAGTTGAAAGAAACATTCAGTTCGTCTTCTCTGCACACTCATCTTCTCTTTGTGGTTTCAATAAAAAAACAAATACACCCAGCAAGACTAGCCCCCCCCCCCAATAAAAAACATGCGCATTACACTGTTCACAAAGAATACAGCCTTTGTCCTAGGCAAACATCACTAAATGTTTAGACAAGGCAACCCCATCAAGCTACTCGACTTTTGAATCTGATATCAAATCCGTCAAAAGCCTGACTGTTTCAGTGCCTCCCTATATCAATCCCACCCATTCAATCAAACATTTTGCATCATGTACAAATAAAGTCTGTAGTATGCCCTCATGTATGATCAACTTGTGTAAAAAAAACCAACAAAAAAACCCACAAGCGAATGCACAAAGCTGACATAATTATTATGGTGTAAAATGCACCAACAGTACAAACAAAATGCTATAAGAGCCTATATGAGTAATTAGGTATATTTGATTCTCTTACAAAAGTTTTTAGAGGGTGTTTCAGATAAGTTTGTACGATTCCCTCAGAAAAACAATCATTTCAGCGACACAGTGCAGAAAACAAGTGAGCTATTTAAGATGAGAGTTTCCTTAACACACGCATTACTGTCAGGACAATAATGTGAAACTGAAATAGTCCTTTAGCATAATTAGCAAAGAAAACTTTTTTTTTAACAGTAACATGTCTAAAAAAACAGACCATCTTACAAGACTAACATACTACACACATCTATTTTCAAAGTTAAAATAAATTGAACTTGGACTGCAGTTATGCATGACCTCAGCCGCAGACAACCAAAATCAAGATGACACCACATTATACCGACATAAAATCAAAAATCAAAAGGGAAGATTGAAGCATCAATAGTATAAACCATGACTTGGTGAATGTTGGGTTGGGAACTGAGTTGCAGGGAAGGTGGAAGGTTTTGTGTAGGTTTGTGAGGATGAGGAGGAGAACAATTTCATGATCTCAATACAAATTATCAATGTTCAAGCAAAAGGGTTCATTTAATTTCCAATCAATACAAAAATCAATGAAACAAAAACCTATCCCAAATAATATTTAATATGCAATTATCATGAACACATTTTGTGTTCTATGGTCAAAGGTGATGAAAGTTCAAGGTTCTATGACACTACTTGACAACTACACTAGGTCAGAACTTTTCCCCTCACATACAAGACTGGGAGGACTTCAGCCCATTTCAAAACCTCTAACCTTGTCCTAGCCTATATATTTACGTTAAAAAGAACTGCTGAAGAACATAATTTTCTACTATTACACAAACCTCAACTATCAAACCGAAATAAAGTATAGTCCTACATTTCATCTTTTATTTTCAGTCAATCAGTTCCTGCATGTCACAAGGGGAAGCACATGCCATAGATCATAGAGCAGGTATGAGTTAGAATTAAAATAAAATAAATGTCACTAATTTAACCTCCTACAACCTACAGATTTATCTCATACTCATCTGTGAACTTCGATATTTCAAAAAGCAATGTCCTTTTTTCAAGGAAGTAGGCTATGCAGAGAAAGACTTTCCTGACAAAATTGGGTTAAAAAAATGAAGATTAGCAGACCACCTGCCGGGAATACTTTTCTGTAACTAAAAACTGTCGCAAACTATTTATCTGTTATTTTTGTGACTAGCAGGGGGGGTGAACCCCCCTGCCCCCCCCTTTCTACTGGAGTAGATCTAGCGGTGGTCCGCTAATCATAAGTTCAAAGAGGCCCAAAATTGCTTGTAGATTAACTGTGCCAGAGACAGCAGGCAAAAGATATTTCTTTTATTCTCGCTAAACTTAACAATTAGCCTATAAACATAGTCTATCACTCAGCTCAGGGATCATCAGGCCTCTTCTCACTCTCAACTTTCAGTCAGTGACTGGTGGTGAGCATGTATGGATTTGCTAGAAATCCAGAATCTAGCGATCTAGAGTCAAGTGATCTGATTTGAACTACATGCTAGGTCTTAGGCTTAGGTCTATATCTAGATCTAGATCTAGATAGGTTAGATCTGAGATCTAGATCACTGTAGTCTTGTCTTGTCTTAGTCTTAGTCATCAAGTCGAACCACACTAGAATCTACTTCACTTCCTGCTTTCAGATGTTGCCCCTTTGCCTTTACTCAGACTTCGTACTTTCTGTAGGTACCTCCAGTACACCTTCGTCGTTCTAGTCACTGGGCAATACGCTATTAGTTACAGCAAATATTGGGTTTAACTATAGAGAAACGTTTTAATTTCCAATAAGTTTCATAACCAGGGTACTGAATGAATCATTCGTGGCGAACCGGAACTAGATTCTAACACTGCAACTACACGACAAGACAGACGAAGAACAAGATACCATTTTTTTCCGTTTCTCATCCTTCCTGTGTAAATTTCTTCCGCTTGTAGAATAAACCAGCCTACAATTATAGAAAAAATATAACTCTGAGAAAAAACAATTTGAAAAATTGTATTAATTGTCTTACCTGTAGGGAATAAGGACCGCAAACGATGTGAATTACCACAAGCCGGGGGAAGAGGCTCAGTGAACTTCGATGCGCTCTTTCAAGATGGATGCTGACACACCAGGCAGCAAATAGAGGAGTGGCATAAATGGTTGAATTTTAACCAATCAGATGTGAGAAATGGCGTTTCTCCCTTTAAATTAGAGCTCTTCTGTGAATGAAAAGCATGAGAAAACGAGGTCACATGTTTCACATGCCGGTTCCTCTTGAGGGGTGGGGCAATGCGAGGAGCCATGCGCCGTGCAGGTTACGAAATTAAAAAGAAGCCAGCGAAATGTAATAGGCCGACTAATAATGATTATAGACCTTCGCACAATTTTGAAAAATCAAAACAGCGTACTTCTTGTTTTCTTTTGAAATATTTATTTCGACTTACTTCGTAATCAACAAAACAGAAAGAGAAACATGTAGCCTTATAATAGTCTACCCAGATCTAGTTTATAAAACAATGTAAATCAAAACTCATCACCCTTTCCCACAAACTTTCTTTCTCTACGCATTTACTCTCTCTCTCTCTCTCTCTCTCTCTCTCTCTCTCTCT